CACCTTAATAGATTTTCCTTTGATATCTGTGTCCCACTTCTTCTGCCACAAATCTCTCCCTGCCACAATAATTCCTTTATATTTGAGGAGGAACTGCCTTGGGGCCACTGCTGGTATTGTCATCTCGTAGGAGGTAAAGGACAATATTGACTTATTGTTATGAAAATATTTCCATTACTAAAATCATACTTTTAAAAATGCAAACGGCCGTTGCTTTACATTTTTATATCATCATTTTATATTACCTTTGTTGTTCACAGCCAAACAACAAATGAAGGCCCAGAACCTGCTCTCTTCTTGTCAACCCTCTGCACACATTTGACCTTTATTTGCCACTATTTCGTGCCAAACAGAATACATTGTGTTGTTTGTAATTATATACGAATTTGTCATTTAAATGGAAAAATAAGTATATATTAAAAAACTTTAAAAAAATAGAATTGTGGGCCAGATTTTATGATATTTTTGAAATCATGTCCCAGAGGGAGGGCCGGAAATGGACCCCAGGCTGGCAGTTTGAGATCCCTGATGTCCAGTATTATTATGAGTGTTTCATTCTTTAAAATCCCCCTCTGATACTAGATGCTTTCACTGAGAGTATATCAGTACACTCACTGTCCACCAGGTGGTAGCAGGTCCTCCCACATGACAGTGAACATACTGACGGTGTCTTAATAAGGTGAAAGGTGGTTTCTATCATTGAGTGATACTTAAGTGACTGACTGACAGCTCAGGTCATTGGCAGTGGTGGAAAGTGTAAATATATCCATTCAAATACTGTACTTAAGTCCAATTTGGAAGTACTTGTAAATACATGTAACTGTTTCAATCCAATCCACTTTATTTATACAGCACGATTTTAACAAACACAAGGTTTCCAAAGTGCTGCACAAAAAGATTCAAACTGTTTGCCAGTTTATACATTTTCTCCTCTACACAGCAGTGGCAAATATTGAGCTTTTTACTCCTCTGCAGTTTGACGGTTTTACATACAAAAACTGTATTGTACTCAGGTGATAAAATATCATACATTATAGACGAACTGCTATAGATTAAACTACCCAACAGTATAAAAAGACATTTTGACCAGCTACAGCATAAAATGCTGCACACACACTAATCCATTGACTCCTGCCTAATGAGTACTGTTACTCTTGATACTTTAAGTACATTTTACTGCAAATACTTCTGTCCTTCAACTTAAGTAATGTTTTAAATGCTTTTACGTACAAGATCTGAGTTTTTTTCCCACCACTGAGTACAGCTCTAAAAGAACTTATCTACATTTTTGCTTCCTTCCTTTGTTTTTGATAAATCAACCCAAAAAATAGTACAGATGTACTTTCTGATTTTATTTGCTGTTTTTTTCTCCAGAGCAGAAAGAAGGGCGTCCAGCCTTTATTTCCCCCAAACCAAGGTCAACGGATGTTTCTTAAAGTGAAAACCAAACATTTGCATGTTTCAGCTGCGTAAACACCAAAGTTGGGACACGTACAATACAGAGATTAAAAAAAAAGAATGATCAAAATTGAAACCATAGATGAAGAGTGATCCTGACTTTGAGTCTGTAGTATGGGTGGAACTCCCAAAACACTGAATCTTACACTTCCCATAATGCAAAGTGGTTAAATTATTATTATTATTATTATTATTATTATTATTATTATTATATATTATTTCATGGTTATGTATTTTCTCTGTAAGGGATTACTTATTTCAAAATGTCTCCCATTGAATTCAGAGGGAAACACTGTCTTTTTTACTCCACTACATTTATCTGACACATACACTTACTAGTTACTTTTCAGATTAAGAGTCTATATAAAACAGCATATAAGTATGGAAGCCCAGAACAGCCATGCTTGCAATTATCTATATCTTGTACTTTTTTTGTGTTGTTTTAACTCTAGCTGTATTGTTTTAATTGTTGTATTGACTTGCCTCCTGTTGCTGCCTATTGGCCAGGTCGTCATTGTAAATGAGACTTAATAATAATAATAATAATAACTAACTAGCATTTTTTATACACTTTTCAAAAAGAAAGTTACAAAGTGCCTTTTAAAAAAAAAAAAAAAAAGAAAACAGGTTCCTGGACCAGGATTAAACCATTCCAGGAGGCAATGAGGCAAAATAAAGTCAGAGAAATAAAAAAAAAGGTAGAATTAAAAGAATAAAAGACCCCCATCAGTAAAAATAAGTACCAACGTTAAAGCAGATAAAACAAATTGCAAAACTACCCACATTGTTAGTTTTAAACAATTAAAAGATAGAAAATGAAAAGCATAAAATACCCATTACTAATATATTGTAAAACCAACAATACCAATATAATAGATACAACATGATAATGTGCTAAATAAATAAAAGTAAAAATATATATATATATATATATTTATTTATTTTTTAAGAATTGGTTCTCAACTGACTTATCTGGTCAAATAAAGATTAGTTAAATAAGCTCAAGGATTCTTTTCATGCACTTTTTTCCTGGCTGCTTATCAATTCAATTCAATTCAATTCAATTTTATTTGTATAGCGCCAATTCATAACAGAAGTTATCTCAGGACACTTTCCAAATAGAGCAGGTCTAGACCGAACTCCTTATAACATTATTTATAGAGACCCAACAGTAGCACCAATCTACTAGCACATTGCATGTCATTCCTCTGTGCGTTGTCCATTATGGAGGACCAAAGCTACATCTATAATACGCCATCTGTGCATGCTAGCTTGGCACTCCTGAACTCTGATAAACATTATCAGTAATAAGAGGAAACCACCTTTGGCTCTCTCATGATAACAGGTTTATTATCTCATCTTTCCATGATAACAAAGCTCATTTTCTCAAGACAACAAAATAATTAACTTGTGATCTCGGGATAACGACATTAAAAAAATTATTTGCAAGCACGGCCATTCTTGGCTTCCGTAGATAAGTTTATAGAATACAATCTAAAGATTCTGCTTGTGACCCATAACAACTCTCTATAAAGGGTTAATTTAGTTAAAAATTCAGTCACTGACAAAAAACATTTGCAATGAAGTAGGCCTACTGGATAGATTAATGGAAATGCTAATTACAACAGTTCATCTTGCCTTATTTTCCAGGATTTTGCTAACTAAAACAACAAAACTCAACAACCATTCCAGTTTTTGATCATCTGAAATTTTGATCACCAGATTTTTTTTTGAAAAATAGAAAATAGGAGCTCACACACATCTGTTTTCCTCCTGAACGCGTTTGAATCGACGGACCTCAGTGGCCAGAGGAGGAATATCCACTCTCAGCTGTGCAACTCAAGATATTTGGCTTTCAGGGCTTTTTGTTTGATATGCATATATGTCTGTTTGATGACGTTAACACTACAACACAAATGATTCCTGTACATATACAGCAAATCAGCCTCCTCAAAAACTGAGTAAAACCCCTTTGATCCACAGTCAGATCACTTCACATTTTCCACGTTCTGACGGTGGTACCCAGTTCCTGTCTCCCTCCCTGCAGTCAGCTGTCTACATTCTGATGAGAAATCAACACTGACACCATGTTACAGTGAACACCATAAACACATCCTCATTGTGAATGGCAGCATCATGCTTCTCTGCAGCAGCCTGTGTGCTGGAGGCGACTAAACCAGCTCAGTTGTGATTAACTGTGTTTCACAAGTAAGTTTTGTTCACAACAGCTTCCATTTTGTTGTACTCCTATTGTATATCTGGCCCCAAAATCTCACATAGCACCCCTTTCCTTTTCTATCATTTAGTAAACTGACTCATTTTATAGATATTTCATATTATATTCAAAACTGTACAATGAACCCACAGAGTGAACTCAGTAAGTGCAAGAACTTTGTTTAAAACTAGTGATTTGGTTTAATTTTCAAGAGGATTATTTCCTGTTTAGTGAACTTTTTAAACAATTCTGACCTTGTTGTCTGTCCCCGATGTTTGGTCGTTGTTCTTTTAACAATTTACTTTACGTTACTTTTCTTCACAGCAGTGAACCAAATGAGATATAGGCCTACTCTATATATGTATATATTTCAAATGTTCTTACACACCTTAAAATCTTGAAGGCCTTGCAACCCCCCAGGGGACCCCTAGTAGAGGTCCCGACCCACAGGTTGGGAACCACTGCCCTAAAGTCTGCACAATGAAAATACTGAAAGATCCAAAAAAGCAACCCCTAGTGAAGAAGAATGTGCGCTGTAGACTCATACTCATACACACTGATATGAAAACTAGATTTGTGCTGAGCTCAGCTGGTGCTTTAAGTGCTTGAAATGATAAAATTCCACTGTGGACATCAATGGATTAATAAGTCATGTAGAGTACTACACAAACAGTTGTGTAAGATCTCCTGTGGCTCTGGATTCTAAAAAATAACCCTGATGATGTCACCAAACACTGGCTCTGGATAGGCCATTAGCATTTTCTGTGCGTTTTGGAGCCACCTTAGTTTCTGCTTTGCGCTTGGAAGGGGAGGGTGAAGCAAGGGAATTATGATCTACAACTGCTAGATGGCACTTAATCCTACACTGGTCCTTTAACAAAAACCCTGCATTAGTTTAAGAGGTGGCCATTCAGTTGGCAAGGATGGTAGACGCTTTCCGGTTCCAGTCCCAAATCACTGGAGTTTCTGCCGTAAGCCCATTACTTGCTGATGTATAGGTAGGCTCAGCTTTCCGTCGACAGACACGGCTCATTGTGGCGTATATTACTGAATAAAATATGAATGGCTCATTGTGGTGTGCGTTACTGAATGAAATAAGGTTAATTGTCTGCCTTACTATTAGGATGACTGTCTATTATTTAATAGACAGGTAGACTCTTACATTACCACTTCTGGTTAGTGACTGTGCGATAACTTCGACAGTGTGCTCTTGAAAGGTCTCTATTGTATTGATCTGTTGTGCAATGGGCTCAATAGAGTTGTCATTTCACAATCGTTGTTCCTCAGCGGTCGGGACAAAAAGACGTCAAATAAAGAACCCAGGCGCTGCACAGATAAGCATCTTTTATTGAAGCATCAAGCTCGTAGCACAGATATATTTAGCACATCTTGACCATCCAAAGAACAGCAAAAGAAAGAATTAGAACAGCAAAGTTTCTCCTTCAGTACATCCTGATACATCCTGCAACTGCACCCTCTGTCACCCGGGGGAGGCTTTCACTGTCCCTTCCTCTGCAGTCTTACAGAGGATTCACAGAAGAAGGGAGAGTGAAAAGATTAATAAAAAGACAAACATGATTTAGTCAGCTTTGAAAAGGTCATCCCTTAACATCAGAACAACAGTGGTTTTACAACAAAATGAACATTCGGACAAAAGGGGAAGAAAAAAAAAAAGAATATTGGTCCGCAGCAAAAATACAAAATACTTTTTGTATAAAATTCTATTACCATTCAACTGCAAAAATGCATTTTGAGTTCACTGTATAAAAAAATAAAAACAAAGTAGCAATGATCCACACCAACGAGGCTAAAATTTACTTTCCAAGAACAGTTAGCATTAAACTTGAAATCCCCTCAATGTGAGACTTCAAAAAAGAGGACCGATAACAGTCGCGCCACGTCACCCAAGTCATCTGACAGGAAGTTGAGAGCAGGTCATGTAAGGGCAGAGATTGGTCCTCAGGAAAAGAATGAAGCCACTCCAAAACGTCATGACAGACAAACTAGAGGGAAACTATTCCGGCATCAACGTCACTGCTCGTTCTCACGTGACCTGCTCCAACCGGCTTGCGCGCTGCCTTAGGTGATATATGTGCCGCTATATGTGCCGATGCAATCATCGCAGGTATTTCAGAGAGACAGATTGTACTGCACCGCAGAAGGGCTGAAAGCAGGCTAGGGCTCCCCGCCGCGTCTTCTCCGGTTCAAAACTCCAACTGCATTCTCTGGCAGGAGAAGCATTGCGAACAGTCGCTGAGCTGAACCGGCGGAGAGGACGGAGCTTGGACGTTTGACAAAAAGGTTTCGTGAAGTCAGAAATGAGAAACCTAACCGGCTTTCAGCGCTTTTTGGAACTTGAAAGAATTAATTACAAGTTGACCCAACCCCTAAAAAGGTATATAAAAAAAGAAAAGAAAGTCCCCGCCTATCCAAAACACATCAGGATGCGGCAGTTGCAACTACGCTTTCAGCAGGTAAAACAAGAGGAAGGTGAAGCACAGACCTATTGACAAAAGGAGGAAGAGACGGCGCTATACTACACTGTCAAGCAACACGGCACTAGTAGTCACATGCACCATAGTGTCACAGGATTCCCCCACCCCCCCTCGATGAACAAAGGCCATTGATCCAAACAAAAACAAAAAAATAAAACTGCTGGGGGAGTCACATTTTCGACCAATTCACTGCAAAAAATGTCTGGGCACAATAAATTTAATAAAATGGCAGTTTATGCAGCGGTTACATGTGGAATGATCCGGGATCACCCTGGCATGCTCAGACTGGTGGGCCTCTATTGTGTGCTTACAGATTTCTGTATGGGGCGGAAAGAGAGAGAGAGGATGGATATTATGTGGGAAGAAGAAAAATGCTTTGCTGGGCAACTAAGCAAAAAGTGTCTGATTCATTATTTCCCATTCAGAGCGGGCGCAGCCAGGAGGGCCGCCTCTCGTCATGTCACGGTTCTGGGGCCAGCTGACAGTCTGACTCTGGCAGGGGAGGGAGGGAGGGGGGGACCTGCTGCGAGCCGGACAATGGCTGCTCGACAGAGGTCATTGTGAGCTCTGTGTGCGTGTGAGGGAAGAGGAGGGTGGGTGTGCTCTCCTGGAGTCGTACATTCAGCTCAAAACCCGGTCCAGGCTTTTCTCTAGAGACGTGTACATTCGAAAGACGGGGAGGGAGGGGGGGGGGCAGACCGCTGCTTTACACGGCCTGTGCTACATTCAGTTTGAACATTTTCCCATGTAACCAATTGGTGTGAATGTGGAAAATTAGACTGCTGAATATGACGGGGGGGGGTCTATAGGATGGAAGCTTCCCATACATACAGCACGCTGTACAAAAAGAAGCCTACAAAGTGCGCATGACAAATGTCTTAAATGATTCATGTCCAGGCATACAACTTTAATAGCCTGTCTATTTGGGGAAACAAGGACTATATGATTGTCGAGGTGGAGGAGCACAAATGAATGCTGGTGTTGGGAGTCCAATTCGAAGCCCAGCAAAGTCTTCTGCTTAACTGCAGTTTGCAGCAACCAGAGACCACACCGACCAATAAGCTGCACACCTTTTATCCAATAGTGCGACATTAAACAGCAAGTATGGCATTCGTTCTCAAACAATGCGATGACTACTACAACGGCCAAAGGCTTACCAAGACTTATACATTCAATCAGGCTCGAGACGGAACGTCGGCCTTTTTTTTTGTACCACGAGTAAACAGGTTTTTAAAGTGCACTCAAAAATCGGTAGAGATTCATATATACCAACTGTCACATTGGAGGGCAAATTAGAAGGAGACGGGTGGCGGGTTTGAAATAACAAAACACACAAAAAAAAAAGTGGACAGGCTGCGCTCATAAAGAGGCATACTGGTCTGAGCATGTCAGGGCCCTGGCCTAGTGCGGGCGGAAGCCTTGTCTGTGGGGGATGAGGGGGGACACCTGCAGGAAGGGACCGTCGTACTGGGCACAGGTGGACAGCCTCAAACAGAGCGTGTTTAATTCCTCTACATGCACTTCAAGATCACAGCAAGAGTGAGCTAGAATATCGAAACAGAGAAAAGAGCTTTCATGCAAGAGATCTAAGTCACAGGTACAACAACGCAAACAACTCAAACTGGAGGTTAAACTAGGGCTCGCGACCGCGTCGGCACCGGCAGATTCTGGACGACGGCAGCAGCAGAAGGGGGGGAGGAGGGATGACGACGAGCTCTCTATCAGGGGGTGAAGCCGACCGCAGGGAGCGAGCCCCGAGCAGCCGCCTTTCTTTTTACGCCTCTTCTTCATCCTCAACCCTCAGCTCTGCTGGTTCTGCTGGCGGTTCTGGGCGTAGCTTGTGAAGACAAAATTGTAGTCGTTGAACTGAGCCAACTGGCGGTCGAGACGCTTGTAGCCCTCGAGTTTCTGGGCAGAAGAAAAGACACTGCGACATTTGGAGCTCTGCAGGGGGCAAAACAGAGAATTGACTCAGTGACAAATCGGGGAAAAAAATAATCACACTTGAATGAAAAGCAAGCTTGTGTTTTAAAAGCAAACCTGATTGACAAAAAGCGTAGTCACAAATTTTCCTGGCTTGAACACCTCCACCACCTTCCTGACCAGATCGTCGTACGACGTCTGTGAGAGGTTGGTTTCGAAGCTGACGTAGGAGAACTCCGGCTCTGGGGTGATGTGGATGGTCCAGTAAGTTCCCTGCAGGAAATCCAGCAGCGCCATGTTACAGGAATGTTTAAGACGTTGGCAACGACAGATCAAATTAAATAGACACTCACGTCAGTCTTCATTCCATTCATTGAGTATCCACAAGGGTTGAACATTGTGGCATCGATCACAGAACCTGGTATCAGGTCACGAATTCCACTCATCTGCAGCGAGAGGAGAACAAAACCGTGTCAACATCAAGTTGCAATTTCTACATCCTTTCTGTCCAGCCTAAACCAGATTCTCCAACAAAGCTCTTTCGTCCTTCCGGATGGCCTACATGTGCTGATCACTGCTGAGACAAACACATGGATGCAGATGGTATCTACTTACACGAGTGACATCACTTGCAGAAACACCATCTTTCATATAGAACTGGTCCATAATGGCTGGATCGAGGTCACTCATCAGGACTTCCAGCGTCTGATCTGCATGCTTGTTCTCCCAGTACTCTGGTAAGTCCAGGGTAAACAGGTACCTGAGGGAGACGGGCAGTCAACGGTTATTTGAGCCTGTTACCAAATAGTTTAACCATGACAAGACTGAACCCCGAGGACAGACTTAATCTTTTTGTACCATTATCTGATTAGCTTAAATCAAGATGTCATGTAGCAATATCCCGCTGCGATTATTGTTGTGCAACAGAAGACTCGACAAATCAGCTGCCTTTTCATTTATGCAACTTTTTATTCAGATAGTCCACGTAAAGAGAGTTTATAGAGCATTTATAACACTTCAATAGCTATGAGCTGAGATTCAACAACTGTTTTCTGATATTACACCACGGTGGTTAAGGTGGTCAGTTTGTTCATGAATTGTCACATATAATCTTGAGATAATGTGTTAAAAATCTACAGACAAAGCAACACAAGTGTTTTTTTGTTGTTTATTTGCCTTTTTATTGAGAAAGAAACAGCATGTTTTAAGGATAAAGTCAGCAGAGTTACTTACCAGCAGTCAGAGTTCAAACGTCCCATACAGTAGGCTGCGCCATCTGGAAGTAGCAAAAAGAAAACCTTTCGGTTACTGTTCACATGAATCATCTATTTCTAGAGCCCTACACAACACTCTAGCCCTCCCAGTCACACAACGGATATAAAGAGGCAGTGTCCCATCAAGGTTTCTTTAAGATGGATGTTGCAAAGCCCATACACAGAATAGATCTCAGAGAATGTGGGGACATTTCTTGGCACAGTACCAAATTACTCAACATCCATAGGGACCGTGACTTGCCTGGATACATGAGTGGGTGGAGACTTGATTCACTTGTCCATGTTACCAATATAGCTTGTCACTGTAAAACTAAAAACTGTAAATAAAGTATATATAAAAAAAAAAAAAAAAAAAAAAAGATGCATGTTGCAGGGTTTCTGCAACTTTTACCTGGTTACATTTAAGACTTATGAACGCCATTTAAGTCCTACTTTACCTCCATACTGGCAAAAAAAGTGCAAAGGAATGAAGGAAAATCTTATTTCTTTCCTGTTGGTTTTGTGTTGTAGCTGTTGCAGCATGAGCAATACAAATATTTCCCCAAAACGCATTTAAATTTTAACTTTATACAAGTAACTCAATCCCTACATTTTATGTCTTAATATTCAGATTGTTGGATTTGAGACACCCTGATTTTCAGAGCATCTTTCAGGAAGGAAAACAATTAAAACATAGGAGAACAGTGCTGAGATTATAAATTATGTACTTGGGAAAATCTGGCTGAGAAAGTCCACTTCCTCCTGGAAGTTTCGATGAGGAAACTCTTGATGGGTTGGTTTCATAAAGTTCTTGCGGGAGTAGAAGAAATTCTACAAAAAAATAAACAAAAACAAAAGCGCCATTCAAACATTTGATAGACGGATGGCTACGTATGTCAGCGCCTGACAAGTGCATAGAGCGTGGTATGCTTTTTACATATACTCAAATCACAGGGTGTGTCCTACCTCGATGGCATCAAAACCGCAGTACTCCCTGGCGAGTTCCAGCAGAGGCACCAGTGCTTGCAGTAAGAGGGTGGTTCCGCACGTCTTCAAAATGAAACGTCTCTTGGAGACAAACATGCTACTCTCACTGTGGAGAGAGAGAGAGAGAAGCACAAGGAGCGTAAAACAGTTGGACTGGAATTATATTCATGTGCCACTGTACAATTTATTGTACAAGTGATTATAAACTAGTAGGTTCTCTTTCCACTCATGTACCACTCAGATAAACAGCTTTTATCACTGTAGGTCCCCTGATTTACACAACAGGTCTAATCTAATACAGGGACAAAATGTGTTTTTATTTCATAATTTCTCTTCAGTGTAGTTAAGCATTGCCATGGGACCATTACTGATTAGTAGTTCAGTTTCCACTTATGCACTCATTGAACTCCTGAGACATGCATTCACTTGGAATGCATAGGTGTATTTGTTGTCAAGCAAGAGGAGCTAAACTCTCAGTAAATTTGTTTGAACTTGCCATGCAGAGGCCTGCTCACCACATGTGAGAAGAAACTTGAGAATTGTTGTGCAACATGCTTGTCTGTGGGGAAATCTAACCCATCTGATGCTAAAGTTGATTTAAAGAAATGATAAAATCATCAAGCATTTGTTAAAAAGGTCAAGTGTGTGGGACTTGGCATCTTGAGGTGTAGTTGCAGATCGCAACCCCCTTGCTTCACCCCCTGTTCCAAGCATGTACGAGAAACTGGCTGCGAAACTAACTAACTATCTACAGCCAGTGTTTGGTTGGTCCATTCTGGGCTACTGTAGAAACATGGCAGTTCAATATGGCGGACTCCATAGAAGAGGACCCACTCCCTCTGTAGATACAAATGGCTCATTCTAAAAGACACACCCACACCCACATGGAAACATACTTATGAATATTATATTCCATTTCTCACATTAGATCCTCCTCAAAGATCCTGGACCTTCAATACTACTGCACCCTGATTATTTGTCATTAGTAGTATACTGCTTGGAGTATGTATTAGATTCTTGGATGGGGGAAGTAAGTAGAAAAACAAAACAAACATTTTTTTTCACATTTGTTTTGACTAGGATACAAAAAGTGAAACCACTTCCTGGCTGCCATGACATAATTTGTTTTACTGGCTAAGACTAAAATTAGTGTAGCTTAGTGGCTTCATCTGATGATAACTCGTCTCTAGTTGACTGTGGTTCTATAATAAGCCCATCAACTCTTTATGTGCCCACGGCTGTGTCATTGACTGGAACTGAGACTGTGCTGTCAATGGCAAGCTGCTTACCAGTGACCGCTGTCTAATCCTGCCTGCCTTCTAATCAGTAGGAAGCACTGAAAGTAAAAGAGGGCACTCACCTGAGTATATAAGCTTCCTGCTTGTCAGACTTTGTCACACTTATGATCAAACAATGCACATTCTCCAAAAGTTTGTCCCACTCAAACCTAAAGAAAAAAAAAACAAAAACAACATTTAGCATTTTGGCATTCATTTATCATATTTGATTGACTCGTTTCCAATTTTGGAAGTGAAATCACATTAAGACTTTAATGGTTAAAAACGTTCACACACTTGTTTTGATCATGTCTTAACAAGAAGGCACACACACGCACAGAGCAATGCCCTGCAAGCAAAGTCATAACAGGGAAGGAGGGATTAAGTTTCTGGAAATGATGGCGCTCAGGGGAATATCAGGAAACAAACAAGCAATCATCTCAAATGATCTTTCTGTAGTGCGTCTACTGAAACCTAGAAATATATGCATGTATATGACCTGGGGAGAGTGGGGGTACAATAAAAGAAGAAATGCTTCAGACTGAGAAGAATAAGGTGCTTGCTGTGTGCAGGATTTGTGTTGTACGTATATTGGCCCCAGATCATCGTTCCTATGTAAACTGAAAAATCACAGGCTGGGGTAGGCGACACAGCTAGTTCTCCCTCGACGTCAAGAAGGCTGCTTCTGCCGCTGCCACCTCCCCCTCCCACCACCTCCTCTCAAAAGACAGCTGCAGTGCAAATGCAGCTGCGTCACGTTCTGCTCCCATTACAACCTTGGAAGGGCAGCCTGGACCCATTCAGAGCGTCCAGTAGGAAGCGCAGCACAGCCTGGGCCGGTAGAGAAAGACCACGAGGAGGGCAGCGCTCAATGGGGAATTTACCAGTAGCCAATGTTGCACTGTTCACCCTCTGAGAGATGGACAGGGCTGCATGAATCAACAGCCTTTTTCTGGGGGGGGACCTCAGAACGAGAAATATGCCTCAGTGACTAGACTGTGAGCACTGCTTCTCTAACTGGCAGTGACAGCTCCCATCAGAAAGCAGGTGGGAACTTAGTCATTTACTCACTGACTAGTTAAATTCAAGCATTTCAGCCACCTGTTGTATGCACTTTAAATAAATGTGCATATAAACCAGCAGAGGTAATGACAGAAATCAGGATCAGTATAATCAAATATCAAGCGTATCCTCCAAGTCTCGTCACTCACATTTATTCCACAGGAAAATCGGTTGGACTCTACCTTTATTGCACACCTGCTTCATCCGCATAGCAACCCAACAAAAATGCTGCATGTGATTCAGAAAACAATTAAAGCAGCACAAATGCAATCATAAAAAAAAGGTGGGAAGCACCAATCAAATGCCATGTTTTATTAACGTTTTACTGGTGTTTCTTACAAACCTTGAGCATGCATGCAACAACCAACAACAGAAAAACACACACTTAACACTTCAAGTAAGATTGAACCACAACGACTCCTGACAACACATTATCATTCTCCTGAGCTGCTGTGTGACATGTAATCAGAAACGGTTACAGTCAGGAGTATTGACTAGCTTCTGGTTAGTGTGAGCATACAGTCAAAATGAACTAACCAACCAATCTTAAAAAAAAAAAAAAAAAAACAGATTAGAGATGGAGAAAACAATGCATCAGTGCTACAAAATGCCTTCTACATGAAGTAACCTGAACACTGTACACCAGTAGCTGCACTGTCTGTATGTGGCGAGTGCCCAAATTAGATTTGCCCCTCACAAAGAATGACATAATGCAATAATCACATCATGATGCAGGCTAAAAGCAAACAAGCTGGCTTTATAACCATCTTACTTCTTGAGCACGGCCACCATATTGAGATCTAGAAAACTGAGTTGGGGTCTTTTCAAACAGGAGTATTGCATGTAGTTTACAGCCTGTATGTTGTGCTGCCATTAGAATCATTTGCAGTACGTTTTATTATTGTGCCGATGTTTAAGACTACATTACAGGCTGAGAACATGGGGGTATTATTTGATCATAAACAAACTTTGGGCACCTTGTGCTTCGGTTTGTGAAGACAGTGAACCATGCAGCCCCTTTTATCTTACAATTAAAAACAAAACTGTGCCAGACTGATAAGAATGACAGACCAGTTTACCAGTAAGAAGATGAACAATCCAAAAACCTAGTACAGTGTATTCTACATAAATTCTTCCGCCCTTATGAACATGAATAAGCCACAGGTATGACATGTCCAGTTTTAATGATTCACTTTTTAAAATTACGCACAACATGAATTACATCAGAGCTGTTGCAACATGCCGGCTTCCCAGCTTCATAGCAGAGGGACAACGTTACTCGAGACGTGGGTCTGCTCTTGTTTCAGTGTGAAATGTAAACCGGAGGCTATTTGTGGTCACTCAGCAGGATCAGATCTTCCTCAAAGAAAGAGTGGTCTCCAGGAAAGGACCAGATTAGACTGCCAAACACTACCAGAGTGTGTAAATCCAAACCCAAGAGACAGGCACACGTGATAAATGTAAAAGATTGGAGGAAGAGACCAGCAAAGTAAAAAAAAAAAAAAATAAAAAAAATCACAAGATGTCATAACTAACATTTAGCTGCAGCACCATGAGGACGGTGAATGCCACATGTTGTAGTGTGCAGGCAGATTTAACAGTAACTGGCCGTCAGGACGAGCTGCTTGACAATCACTAGAAGCAGACTGAACTGCTGTCGAGCCCTGAGGAAGGACGGTGGAGGTAATGTGAGCGAGCGCCACATTTGTGAATCAGATGCCCTTGTGGACTTATTTGGACATTGGCTGACGTCCAGAGAGACTGATCCACTGACAGTGTCCCTCTGAGCCGTTAATCTGCCCTCTGGCTGTAAATGAATGCCAGTCCTCACTCAACCGGACTGGCTGCACACTTTTCTTAAAAACAGACCTCTGATCTGGTTAATGACCAGAAAAAGTCACTCATGGTGCAAGCAGATTTAGCGTTGAACCTTGCTACAGGGCCACTCACTTAGTACAGTACAGCAAAAACAGGTAGAAGTGTCACGCAGTTTCAAAGGCTAAACCCTGAACAACTTGGACTGACAGAGAGGACGTGCTGAGGGGGGATGATTTCTAACCAGTTGTTGTCATTGTAAATCATTCTGTGGACACACCTCCAGTTCCTCCAGTTGCTCTACTCCCACACTGAACAAACACCAGTCATCTCTAAAACTACCTCAGTGGACATTTTCTGCACCAAACAGTACAACATGGCTCATCTAAAGCATTTTAATCTATCCATTTATGACCCCCTACTACTTGGCACAGGCTCTTTGGTGCTTGAGGCACAGTAACAAATGTGTTTTGGGGTAATTAACAAGGGTAAAGGTCAAGCCTTTTTCATTTCTCACATCCATTTCTCTCAATGTGCTATCACCCAGAGACCATTTTCTTTGAGTGCAGCCAAACGCCTCCAAGCACATCGCAGTAGGAAGAACCTCCAACCAATCACAGCAACTGGGAGGAGTGTGTCTGCATGGCTGTAAAACGTGACCGGAACAAGGACTACATGCAATTTTAGTTCAACCTACGGCGGATCTTGGGGCTGCCATGCTGGGAGTGGAGTGCTTCAGCATAAAAAAAAAAAAAGCACCACCCCATCATCACAAACACTCCTAGATGACTCAGTGTCTGTCATTATCGTTATGCAAATTCTGACTGGCTTCAGATCCTGTCTTCCCTGCCATCAAGGCCGCAAGCACTCTTCTCTTCATCACTAAATAAATCCCGTCTAGCTGAGCAGAGACTGATATCGCAGTGATCTGTGAGAGTGTTTGTGTGAGTGTGAGAGAGAGAGAGAGAGTCCGCGCTGGTGGCCAGTTTCGGGGCAACACGCGGTGACGACGGGCGACCACATGCCTGACACATCCACCCAGGCCCCCTCGTTACTGAATGACGCAGGAAAAAAAAAATAATAACCTCCCCATTTAGAGCAAGACGAACACACACCGCTTGTTTACTCAAATCCCCTTTGAGTAGGGAAAACAAGCAGCTTAGTCTAATGTAGCTCTGATGTAACGCTAATGTAATCAAACGACGTCCCAACATCAATGCGGGAGCAATAAAATGCGTGCGCACCGACAGGGAAAAGAGGGGATCAAGCCCGCCTAATGTTGGCATCAAAGTGTGAGCTGACACATAGCGTTAGCGAAAGGAAAGACTCGTTCAAATGATATCAAAGCCCGTTTGAGTCGTACAATGAGCCAGAGAACAGCAGGAGACGGCTGGATATTTGTCCATTTTCTCCCATGGACGAGCTAGAGTTAGCTAGCTATAACCGGGTTGCTGTCAAGACGGCTTTAAAACATGAGCTACACCGTTGCCCTGTCGCTCTCCCATCACAAGTAAGGTGAAAATGTTAATTTCCATTAATTTCCTCGGTGAAGAATGAATGACTCAGCTTGGAAGTGCCACCGTTAAAGGGGGAGGTGGCCATTTTTGAGTGACTGTGTTAGCTAGCTTACTGGTAGTAGGCTCTGGTGTCACACTTTGGTTTCATGCCTAGCTAGCTAACTGAGGATGGACCGATGATGGCGGGGAGCACACTGCCTCTGGGAAACAAGATTTGCCTGTGTTTAGTTGTGTAGCTCACATGTCAAGAATGAATTGAGGGAATGAAGCCGAGCATGTGGCCTGGCGATTCGCATTTCCCTATGCTGCCGAGGACCGACGCGACACCTGAGACACTGAAACGACACAAACCTTGGGATGGTACGGAGGTCCCCGGTTCCTTTGGTCTCATCCTGCCGAGAGAACCACACCTCCAACAGCTTCTCGGTCCCCTCGAAGAAATGTGCACCGTTATCTTCCATCATGAGACAACAGACACCCAACAAAAAATATTAACCGTCGGTTGAAACGTTTACAGCTTAATAAATCCTTCCTCGATCAGTTATAATTTATTGAGGTACAGTCCTTTAAGCAATCCAGGTGTTGATTTTCTTGAGTTACCGTCTTCCCTTTTGCAGAGAATACCGTTAGCGAGTGCTAGCTAATATCGCCGGCCATACTGTGTAAAGCACTGAATGGAGATGGCGCGGGGCCTTTATATGCGAGCCGCGCTACGTCACTCCCGCGTACAGCCAATCCGGTCGCAGAGCTCTGGCTGGTGAGACGCGGTTGGTTCGGGGACCTGTCAATCACTGTAAAGCCAGGGGTTTCCTCACGTGACGTTACAGCTTTTACAGCCTTCACGTAGCGTGTCATGGCTCTGTACAAAAATATTACCGTACAGTAGCCTAAATTACAATTCAGAAGAGTATTATAATAATGTGACAGTAAGTGGAGTTTATTTAAGTCCCTGTTTGAAAATGTGGAGTTATAGATCTATATGTCACATAAATATTATATTTTACTCCAGGATGCTTTAAGGCATATTTCCATGTAAACTAAGTGCTTCTCTGACATATATTTCTGTATATTTTATTCCTGCCACAAACCACTGCACGACCATAATGCATTCATTTATTGTTATTTACGCCATGTTGACATGAACAAATGCACAATTTTGATTCTGAATTATACATACAAATAATATTACAACACAGAATAGAAATGTTGGTTATATAATGAGCCAGTTTGGTCATTGCAGTTGAAGAAAACATATTATGATTGTATTTTATCAGCATTAAACGGTATAGTACCGGTGTAAGTGGTATTATAGTACTTAGTATTATAGTATAGTACTATAGTACTATAGTACTTAAAGTATATCTGATAGTATCATTGTAGGTCTAGTCTATAGGTAACTTTATTTAACAAAAAATAAATAAATAAGAAAATGACATGGCAAGCATTTTTGTTATCCTGCTTTTGGAAACTGCCATTAATAATAAAAAATAAAAATAAAAAAATAAATAAATGTGCAAAGGGGGCGGTAGTGTTGTTTATACACATTATCTGACAATAAAAGACAACAGTATTTTTAGAGAAATCTTGAAATATATTTTTGTGTAAAGACCTAACGTATTTGTTGTGTTACTATGGTAATAATTGGTATGTATGCAATAAAAAATAACGCCATTAACAGCTCAGGGATGATAAAAAAATATTTCTAAATATGTATCCAGGTGTTTGCTTTGAACGAACAGCCCTGCTTGTGCACCATGAAATCGAAACCACCGATAACTGCATTTCTGAAGAGCGTTTATGAGTACGCAAAGTGCAACAAACCGCAGCGAGAAACGCGGGTTGTAGTTTCCTACATCTCCGCTCACGAGCTAGCGTAACCGCGGCGCCTGCTCAGAAGCACTACATTACCCAGCGAGCACCGCGCGCCAATTAGAAACGTCAACGAGCCAGTGAACATTAAGCGGAGCAGACCAAAATCCCAAACAAGGAAATGGTGGGGGAATAAAACGACCAGATTATTTAATTAATGCATGTAATAATTAATATTTTATTTTATTGTAAATTAAGACGTATTTATGGGTTAAAATGGATTACGACTTCAAAACAAAGCTGGCGGCCGAGAGAGAGAGAGTAGAAGATCTGTTCGAATATGAAGGTTGCAAAGTGGGTCGAGGCACCTACGGGCACGTTTATAAAGCTAAACGCAAAGACGGGTAAGATAACCGTGAACGTTATTGTTTGTACTGACATAAAACTGACTGCGGGATGCATTTTGTGAACACACAGCCCAGTTGTGTGCTGAACGGGGCGTTAGATTTGAACCTCCCCGAAGCGATAACCCGTGTCTCTATGTTTTTGTTTTCATGTAACGCACTCACTCACTCACCAACGGTTCCCCCCCCCCGCTCCCTTTCCTCCTCCCCCTCCTCTCCCCCCTCACCCCCCACCCTCCAAAACAACACAGTAAAGCGACTGTGCTATGTCTTTTTTTTTTTTTTTTGACAAGTCTGGTCTTTACGTTATGAACGGAGACAGCTCGCTCTCAATGTATTTAAACGCACCGGACGACGCTGGTGTCGTCACTCTGCGCGGGAGTGACATTTCAGCGTCTTTTCGCGGCCAAGCTGCTCCCCCATTTTTAACACTGTGCGCTGCCAAACTTTTTTTTAAACTCACAGTTGAATGCAATGTGTTTGCCACTGCTCTTTACTCTGACACTGTCGTAATGCAGGTGTGAATACAATGTATGTAAGATCGACATGTATGCTCTCACATTTCTATTCCACTATGCTAGCAGTGTCAGTATTTGTGGCTAGATTTGGCACATTCCCAGTTCACACTAATGCCTGACAATGGGACTTTATCTCAATAATGAAATATGTTCATCATTATGAAATTTGCAGGATTGATTGAAAGTTAGGTTGATCACTCTGACCTGACAGCTTGGAATGTAAATTGAATGCCAGTAAGTGGCCTTACCAGGAGGATAGTGCATGAGTAGTTGCTTTATTTTCTTTTATGTAACAATCAGGAAGCAGAAATTAAATATAATATGCCTAGGTATGTTGTTATTAGTGTATAATCACCTAAACACAGGAATCGTGTTTTGGTTACTTTACAATGAGCCATTTTATCTACAGAGGGAGCGGGTCACCTTCTGTGGAGTCTGTCACTAAATCTTATACAGGGGTCCTCTAAATTGTATATCTTTGTAAGAAATTCCACATTCTACATCTTTGTCACTGTTGTTACAAAATTGTTATAAATACAATTATTCATTGTTGATATGAATTTGCAGTAATGTTCAAATTTGCCCAGAAATCCTATCAAATGTTACAGGGATCGGGCATCAGCCAGGTGTGACATGACCACATGTGACTGAAGAGGTTATGTGTAGTTAGAGCACTCAGCCGACAGAGTTTAACTTCTTGTATTGGGAGAGAAAAAGTGGGAGCGGTCATATTTTTGGAGTTTTACTCCATAGTGAGCTACTTAACTCTGTCTCAGGTAAGCCTTTTCTCCACTCCTCATTGACTCATCCAGTTGTAAAGCTGAGTCAAGGCCACAGGCGGTGACTTATCATATTCACCTCTACAACACTGCATAATAGAGCTGTGATGTGAGGTCAAAAGGTGCACACGGGCAGGTCGCTGGCAGTCCCTTCTGCAGCAGTAACACCTGAGAGCTTGGTTAATGCTGTCAGGTAATAACATCCCCAGGGTTATTATAGATTGTGTGCAGGAGATACAGTGTGTAAAAGAAATACAGTGAGATGGTTCTGATATTGAGTAAAACGCTGTTGTTGTTGATGTGCTTTTGGGCGATAATCTTGTCATTTTTTACTTCAACTCATTACTGTTTCATGGAGCTATCATAAAGCCTCTTGGCACTTGACCATGATCCTGCCTGTACATACAATTACACTATTCTAAGAAGAAAGTGAAGTAGATAAGACAATAGACACCATTTTGTAATTTGTAATGCTGTGGTGGTATATCCTTGGATACACAGCTATAATAATCTGGAGAGTTGCTGCTGTCAGCCTGGATTGTATTCTCCCAGGCTGTAGACAAGGCCCTGGGGATGAAGGGAATCACACTTATTCCTGGTGAACTTAACCTGCAAGGCTTATTTAAGTGAAAACTGAAAGGCAGCAATCCACTTTTATTCTGATTTCCTTGCTGAACAATCTAAGATGCCACATTTTTTACATTTGCTGGCTTCACACCTAAAGCTTCAGGGATATGTAACTTTAGCAAGTTTATCCCAGCTGGCCGCAAAAGGAGAAGCATGCTCCTGACAGGGCGTGAAGATGTATTGTCACTGTTTTAAAGTAGATGGAGTGTCTCCATATGCATACAATCTGGAATTGTGCCTATGTAGGAATACGATAGCTGTGTGGCTCAACCAGTGAAGTATACTTATTTTGTGCTCTATGAGTTTTGCACTTTTATCTAAAGTCATCATCTGAAAAACACCTGTGGAATCGTCAAATATCGGTCCCCTCCACGATTGTGAGGGCTGTTTTGTGGCCTAAAATGCCTCTGGTGATGTATGGCTCGTGATTTTGCACGGGAAACTAAGATGATTGGTCAAATTTGTGAAAAGTTGTGGTGATTGGACAAAATTGCAAAGTTGTTGAACATTGGTTAAATTTGCATTAAAATGTCCTGGAGGGACTGATATATGGTAGTATCTTTTGAGGGATACTGGGCTGCAGCTTTCATACGAATTTCCAGATCCAATTACATGCATTCAATTGTTATTGAGTACTCACAAAAAGTCAAATGCAAGAATAGGATCTGAAATGAACAGTGAGGGTTAGCATACCTTTCTGCAGTGCACAGACTGTAGAGATGAAGAAAAAACGTATAAAAACGATAATTGCGATGACTCAATAATGTGGCTGGTAAAAAAGCTGTGCCAGGTTTATGTTTTTACAGCCACCTTGGCCTGTATAGCTTAAGGGTTCATTTCATTTCTGTATATTGGCCAACATTGGCAAGCAAGTGCACATTATGTGTGGCTGCAACATTTTTGATATGTAGAGAAATGCGAGCTCTTTACATGTTGAGCAATTCTAAACAAACCGAGTACTGGATAAATGCATTAATAAGAGATACCAGCACACCAAATCAGTTCTAATAATTTTCACTAATTGGAATGCAGCTTTCACACTGCAGAATAAATGACTGGCAGGCGAGTTTAGTCGCTTTGAATTCAGTTGTGAAGATTTTTGCCCTGTCCCTGTGCCGCGTTAGCTCTACAGTGCCTGCATTAGACAAAATGTTAGGCCGTCTACGAGTGTTTGGGTCCAAAGTAAACTTTGCTCAGACTTTTGCAGCGCTGCTTGTCTCTGGTGGTTTCTTAAGCATAGGTTTATGGTTCTTGCATTGCATAGCACACACAAAGAGCCAGTCACCAGTGGATCCACAGGCCGCAGTCTTACAAATGGATGTAATTGCAGAGGCTTATGCGTTGCAGTTGCCCGTCGGGTTCTGTTTGTGTGTGGTCGAGCATCGGCTGTAGATTCTGCGGCGTGTCCATCACTGCTGGATCTATTAGCAGCTGTTCCAGCACGCTGGATCGACATCAGAGGCAGTCAGTGGGAGGGAGAGTTCTCTGATTTAGTCTTGTTAATCAGTGATTTCAGGCTGAAAATGTAAAGCAAAACTTGAAACATTACTCTGAGCATATGGTAAGAGTTTAATCAGATCACAGGGACATGGAAATAGTTGGTTTGCTTTGTGTCCCTCTTTGTGATGTTCATTTGAGCGCAAGGCGAGCAATCTGAAGATGTCTCTCTGGGTTTTGAGAAATTATGATTTCAGCATTTTGTGGTATTTTTATGAATTCACTGACCAGTAGAGAAGTGAATCGGCATATTAATTTCAAATGCAGCTTCTAACAGAAGATGTGAGGGGACGCAGGCAGCTGTCAGTCTTTTTACTAGTTTTATGAAGATGGCTTCATGTGTCAGGGCCTTAAGAGAGCAGGCTCTGATCTGATGCAAAGCTCCTTCTGTTCAAGCTGAAAAATGTCAATTCAGAATAACAGGAGGGATTATAGGAAGAAGCTGTCCATTAACTGGAAAAGAGTGATATTTGATGTTGATGTCTGAATGAAAACTACAAGCACACATCCATCTTTAGATGCTCGTTCGATGGTTTTCTTATCATTCCTTCCTCTGCTTTTTCACAGGGGAGTTGCGGATATTTTATTACGTTCATTTGGCTAAATTCATACAAGGAAATGTAGTTCACAGACCAAAAGATTAAACGTTATGAGCTGTTTTGAGCATCTGTGCAGATCAGTTAGTATTAGCGATGTGTGCCTGAGAGCTCCAGTTAATCCATGACCATCTCCAATGCAAATTAGGCTCAAGTGGGTTTGATCTCAGCACCACGAGGACCTGTTTGATGTGTGCATGCTGCTGACTGAATGAAGTTGTTATTGGACGGCGTCCACAGATTGTGTTTACAGTTTAATCACGCCTCTTTGCACTGTTTTAAATAGAATGTTTCCTAATAGCTCTAATTTTCCACACTGCTCCCTGCTCAGGCTCATACGCTGCTTATCCTAATAATCAATATGAGTCTGCTGAACCCCGCAGTCTCACATTTCACTTAGAACGGATTTTCGTGCACAAATGTGATTCACAAGAGCAAATGACTTATTCTGAAACACCGGAGAGTAAAAACAAAGTGCAGACGCAGACGAGGAGCTGCAGCTAAGCTGGTGTGTAGTTTGAATCCTGAGCATCTGCCTTTGCATCAGGGGTGAAATTCATGCAGGGAGAGGCAACAACAGAGTGCTGCTGCAGGGACCGGATGGCTTTATGCTGCCAAAGGCTACCGCTAATGGCAGGGATTCCTCTGTGACAGTCGAAACCCTCGCAGGCTTTATCTTGCCCTCTGCTGTCCTTCTCTTCCTCCCAAAGCACCTCCGACTTCAATAATCAAAACCTGAAAGGCCAAAGCAGGCGTCAGAGGTCTTGAGGTTGATGTTGAAAAGGCCGCTGGTGAAGAAAATCTGTGCCATCTAGTAATGTTTTCTCTTTTTTTTATCTCGACAGGAAAGATGAGAAGGAGTATGCACTGAAACAAATAGAAGGCACTGGAATATCGATGTCTGCCTGCAGGGAAATCGCTGTAAGTGACAACTTTTTTTTATTAGTGTGTTTGTTTCCAAGACCTTATTAATGTTTCATTTTGAGAAAATCGTGATGTATCGCCAGATCCTTGCCACTACATAGCCCGTTTACGTTTATTTATTCGCAAAACAAAATGTAAACTGTTGCTTTATCAATTTGAAGATGTATGATTTGTATTGTGACTACCTGCTGAAATTCTACACAACATATCCACTGAAAGTTCACAGAAAGTAGTAGAGTAAGTAAAGTATTAAAAACTATCTCTCACTTGTATGGTAAGTGGGCCTCTTTGCACTATTATGTTTTAATGGGACCACTGGACCTTGGTAAACCTTAAAAGCTCTACTCCCCTTTACTGTCTACCCATGGTGGATCAAGATGCTCTGTGCTGTAATTGCATTCAGCATTAAGCTGTTGAATAAACAGAGAGACAGGTATAGCTTTACACTCACTTATCCTCTAGATATACCACTTTAAACTCTCAAGATCAAGCTTGTAGAGGTTGCTTTTAGAATGAACACACACATTGAAGAACAATTTCTCTACTCAGAGGGAATGTTTTTATGACTTCATCTGATGTATTTCAGGGAATTTTCATCCTGTTTGGGTGTGATTTTCTTCTTTCTGTCACTTGCCTCTCAAGGATACAAAAATGCCCCTTGAGTAACACTCAATGTAAACAGAACTTTGTTCATTAGCAAAAAACTCCACAGGGCACTTTAAACGCAGAATTGTCAGTTTAATAAAGTGTGAAATAGATGAGAAAATTTATGAAAATAAAAAAATCTACTGTTTTCAATGTCTTTTTTGATTTTATTTTCTATTTATGCATGTCCATTGGCTGCTGGCAAAGGACATAATGACATCCTTGGAAAGTGCAAGTCACACTGAATCTAAAAATATGTGCATCATGCATCAGCAATCGGGTGCTAAGGGTTTAAAAGTAGCTTAATTGCCCCCATGGGCTGTGTGTCACAGCCATTGGTGCTGCAGCTGCAGCTGCTGACCATGAGGTTGAGGGGTCAATCCAAACTACAATAACTAACCAGTGGCATATACCTGTCTCTTTTACCTCACACAGTATCTTCTACCCCTCCCCTTTAAACCTCTGTATCAGGGGATTTAATGTGAGAAGGGGACAAGCACCTCTTCCACTCCACCCCTCCCTGCAACAAGCCAACAATGTTTGTGATTTTTAGAGTTGGCAGAGGACGTTGAGGGGGAGATAGCAGGTCAACAGTATATGTCACATAGAAGTGGTGTACATCATCTAAAAAGCTGGGATCCTGAAGATTAATTTAAGATGCAGCTCAGTACTGTGTGTCAGGTTTTTCTAATCATAAATCTGTAACAAACATTGTGTTTTGTTTAGACCTATTCAAATATTAAAGGTTTAGAGTGTGTAGGGGTTAGAACATTATAATGGAAGAATATGATGGCTATTTCCATGCTTTATTATGTTTCATAAGTTGTTGCATTTTTGGGTTGATACCATGTGTTTGGTGCAAAATGTAATCCTTTTTGTTCATTCGAAATTAGATAAAATGGCAAAACAATTCCTTCAAAATACCACATTAAGAGACCGAGACTCTGAGGAACATCATAGAGAAACCCATGCTGTGATTTGGTATCAAAAACGTTTGACATCTGTAAAAAATGCATTTTTTGGCAATTGGATGGTGAGCCTGTGATTATCCTATAATCTATCACACATATATGCAAAAATAGAAGATACACTGAATAACAAAGAGCCATCACTTAAACAGATTATTTCATATGATTCTCCATGTATGAAAAGGACTTAATGAAACAAATTTGCGTGTGTGGTTGTTGTGGCTCTATAAAGAAGCATTTGCTTTTTGATATTAAAATATTTGGTAAGATCAAACTTAATGACATGTTGTCATGTCGTCTACATTGAAACAGGAAGTAAAAAATGGCACCAAACCACAAGATCAACAGAATAATTAAAGCTCAGTGTTTGCTTTTGTTATGAACTAAATATAAGACTTTCACATGGTTTCCAGCTAGCACTCCAGTTTGGGTCTACAGTGTTTGTGGTGGGGGGTTGGTGCAGCCTGAGGGCAAGTCAGCGTGCCACTCAGCAAGTCCTCTCTGAGGCTGCAGATAGAGGAAGAATGTGCCCCCTTTGACAGGCTGGTAATGTTATGTAAAGGTCTCTGGTTTCTACTATAACTTGTCCACCTGGAGGGAGGCTATGGGACCACATGGTGCAAACACTGTCAGTGACACTGTGCAAACACTCCCTGTAACACTGAGCAAACTTGCTGTTTAACATGTAGGAGTACTTTCATTACCTCGAGCTGCTCATTAACGTTTCACCTTTAGTTGAATATTCAGTAGCTGGAAAAACTTTGGACATTCATAGTTCCTTTTCTTGCCAGCAATAAGTCACATCTGAAAAAAGTCATCCTATGTGTGCATGCAAATGTAGAGGGTGGTGGTGGGGGGTGGGGGGTAGAGCTTTTGTTTGCTTGACATATTCTACAGGGAAAAGTGGTATGTTTAAACAAAAATCAAGTCTGTTTTCAGTGCTGATTCTGGTGGTTACATCACAGTGTTTTGTTTTGTTTTGTTTTTTGCATGACTGGGCCTTTGTATAGGTTTATAGTGGCTTATTGTACTATACTTAATGTCTTCTTGTATAGACTGAAGGCATTCTTTATTTAATATATGAAGGAATCAGAAAGCATGAAACTGTTGCAGTATGTAAACAATTTTTATAAAGTTAGAACCTAAAAACAGTTTTAACATAAACATACATAAACACTATAAACTACAGCCTGATACTGTCTCACCGGCCAGTTCTGTGGAAACAGGACCTGGATGCAGCAGTGTCCTGTTCACCTTTTTTTCCCCCAAGATAGCGAAGTCATGACCCACCGTAATCTGACTCTGACAAAGTGGTTAACCTGAGCCAGGCCATACAATGGTAGCAATCATAATACTATATGCTTGTTCAATAATAATAATGTATAGTATACTGTATATCTACTTTTAACACATGTATCAGATCAGTTCTCGAGATCACCTGATACTGAAAGTTCCGGTATCGGAATAATCATAGGAAAAAATGGTATTGGAATTAGGGATGTCCCAATCCGATCTCAATGATTGATATTGGTGCTGAACAAGCTATTTTTTTAACTGATCAGTATCAGTTATATTGAGCTTTATTGACCCGATCACATCGTTTGTTTTACATCTGTTTACATCTGCCGTTTTTATTCACAAAGCTTTCTTGCACAGTGCAGCCATTGTCAACTCTCTCCACTGTCCGCCTCTCTCCTCCTCTTTAATGTACTGCATTATCTAAAAATAGTAGTAGTAGCAAAAAGTATAAGATCAGGACCCTGTATCAGCAGATACTCAACTAAAAAAACTTGATCGGGACATCCCCAATTGATATATTTCTAGTTATAAGGAGCATTTTTTCCCTAAAATTTCTTTGCAGATTTCTGCATGATTATTTGCTACTGACAAAGGAAATAATGATATCCTTGAGAAGTGGAAGTCAAACTTAATCAGAAAATATATATGTAAACTAACTTTCCCAGCAAGCTGATTTTCTTACTGCACAGAAACGAATTATAAAGCAGTGGCTATTTGTAAAAAAAATTCACACAAAAAATGTCTGCCCTGGAAATGACTGGCTGCAATGTAAAGAATACACAGTCAGTAGTACATGGGCTAAGTTAGGCAAAGGCACCTCAAATTCCTGAATCAGCAGCCAACCAGGAGAAAAGTGGATAAAGGTCAGAGAGCCAGCACAGCTACTGAAGAGCACTGGTAACTAGCCAGCATGTCACCTCTAAGTGTGAGAACTAGCTGCTCTCTCAACATTTAGAAGTGAAACAGATGAAGTACTACGTAGTTCTCTTTTTCTGCTTGCATAACAACACTATCAGATCAACATACAGTATGTTTGTGGTGTGACTGTGTACTTTTTTATTGTAACTATAGATCATCAGATAAACAGATTCGTATTGTCACAATGTTGTGACACGATACCGGGCTCAAGGCCAGTGTCCCAGTAATCTAAGGCAGGCTTCATAAGTCTTTTGTTTGAGCGTCACTAGCGAGTGTATTAGCCATTAGCTCACTACATCAGAACAACATGTTTTGCAGAGACGTATGGATGAATTTTGCTGTGCCACTTCCTGGCGTGATGAGGCCTTCGCTGTCTGGGTAAAATGCTGGTGCAGTAATGGTGGTTTGTTTTGTTTTTGCCTTCAAACCAGATTAGTCTGTACAATTCAGTAGCTGCTAGGAGGTTTATCACACTCACTGCTGCTTCCTCAGGTCTCTCAGGTCGCTCTTGAGGGAGAAATTCACTGCTGCATCCTGACAGTGTGACATCACCTATAACAGAATGTACTCCGTCGTTCATCTCTGTGACTGTCACATCCCCTTTGAACGCCTTGGACCGCTTTGCTTTAACATCTCACTTCATGTCAAACCGTTCCCTCTTCCTTGCTGTCGAGATACGGCTCTGAACAGTGGTGCCAGAATGAGGGCACTCAGCTTTGGATGGACTTTTTCATGCAATTTCCTTTTAATCCCAGCCCAGCCTACCATTTTTATGTATCTAAAATATGGTTGGAAATCAGTGGCGTCAATATACCTATGAAAGCCGTCCATCCTCTGGATGTCAGAACTTACCAAAAGACCTAAAAGTAGGCTCTGAGATGGCACAATGTTGAAAACTGTGGTAATATTTGTTTTTGGTAATCTAATATCACTACTGAGACATTTGACGAGAAATTTCGTCTGATGATTTCCAGCTCTGTGGTATATAATTGTTTTTAATTTATTCTCCAGTGACATTTTTGTGAATTAAACTTCTCCATAAATTGTTTTATGTAGCAATTTAATGATTCCGTCTAATGAACACACCCTTGTTCATAAGCAGGTGGTATTCATCAAGTTGAGACAAGCAATTCACAAGTTTGCGCAGTTGAAAGAGTCTGGTGAATCTGACTTAGAGCACTCGTAGTAAGAGAGTTAGGACAACAATACAAGAATATTCTCACAGTTATAGTTTTAAAATAAATTCTATGTAATATTGGTGGCCCTGTATTTGCAGTCAAGATGCAGTTGTTCAGTTCTTGACTTACTTCCTGTGTTTTGTTCCTTGGGCACCTTATTGTCCCTGTTTCTCTGACAGTCTGTCGATATCTGCATGTCAGCGGGTGTCAGATTGCCTGCCTGCTCACCAATCTCTCCCTCTGGTCCTCCTGATAGTGGCTCCTCTTCCAAACAGGGCAAAAGGGGAGTGAGTCATGGCCTCGGAGACTTGAGTTGCATTGCAGCATTGTCTTATTTGACACTTAGTCATCACCTGACAGATGATTAGTCAGACCTTTGGGTGAAGAATCTCACATGTATATTTGTGCACATTGAGTAACTATGGGTGTTGTCATGGATTCAACTGTGACTTTCAATCACCTAAAGAATGGGTTGCAGAACTCTTACTCAGTGTTATGTTACTTGCACAAGCAGAGAAGCTCAATGGTTAAAGCAAGACCGTTGATCTGCTTTGTCTTTTAGGATTTGAAAGAACAATCGTCGCTTTCTAAAGCCTCTGATGATGGCCTGTTTTTGATATCCGCTCTGCAGGGAAACTGAAAATAAGATGTCGTGGTGTTAGCAGCATTCTTTTCCTGAATAATCGAATCAGACCATGACAGTGTCTCTGGAGGCGAGCAGACAGAAGCATTGCTGGGGCTTTTTTGCTTTTGCTGATATCTACTATTGCTCAGTAGAGTAGTAGACAGAAAGCCCCAGTGTCATGTTTCAGTTTTTTAGAAAGGCAGAGGACTGTGGAACACTGGCTGAAAAGGGGAATGGGACTTCATGTAGTGTTCTGAAAATGTTTATGTGTGTGTGTTTTTGTCATTCTGCAATGTTTTGTGTCTGATTAGTCAGCTTTGGTCACCGCTAACTTTTGAAAAACAGTTATGGGGCATGTTGTTTCAGTCACCACTGAGACAATGAAATCCAGTCAAGAAAGTCCAGTTCATGAATAAGGATTCTCCGATTCAACTTTTCTCACCCCATACCTCACTCTGTGCTCTCATTAGAGACAGCCTGTTCTTTAGGCTTACACAATATTCTAATATGTCTAATACTGTAACACAACCAGTTCCTTCTGTAGGATGACTCACTGTGTACATGAAAAAGGGTTTAGTCAGTGTAATTACATCTCTTCGCTAAACCTCTCCACCTGTGTGTGTCTTTATTCTCAGACCAAAACCGGTTTGCTGAACAATGTAGTTCCTCCAAAACTTTGTTAAACGTACAGTCAGTCAACTGCAGTCAGCTTCTCCCATTTAGGATTCCTTCAGTGTTCATGGTTCAGGAGGTTTCAGAAGATCTCTTTGAAAACACTGTTCAGCAGTTTGTAATGCTAGGAGGAAGGACTCCCTGGATTTGCATGAGGTAGAAGAAATACAATGTTCATGTTAGAAAGTAAACTTACAGGAATGTGTGCTTACAGGTATTTGTTTGGCCTATGCAGTGTGTTCTAGGATGATGTCACATTGTGTTGACACAAAAAAAAATTTCTGGAAGATCCTTGATTAATTGGCCGGAGCCCAGTGATATGCCAACAGTAAATGAAATGAATAAGCTGAACAGCGCCTTCGTTTTATTGGGTGATATGAGAAAAAAGACAATTGCAGTCATCTGCTTTAGTGGGGATAAAAGCATGTTTTATTTATCTGCTTCAGTCATCTCATCTTTTTTTGTTGTTGTATTTTTACCATGGCAGTGTTGACCTTATCATAGCCGCAAAATGGCAGCAGGAAAAACAAGTGCTCGTCTTTTCTCTTTGTCAGTTAAGGCTCAAGAACACGCCAGGAATGTGGACCCTGTGTGCAGCACATGCTCAATGTACCTGGATTCCTCACCTACATGGAGCAGAGGAATGCAGGTACTGTAGGAGCGTGTCATCCCCACCATTTTGTCCCAGCAGAGCAAGCCTAACCTCGCTTGTTTCCTGAAAACTACAACCACCAGAAGTCGGTTTTGCTTAAAAAATCTTCTAGTCTTGCCCAGCAGAACAAAGGAGCCTTTGTGCCTCCCAAACCACCACCTCGCTTCGTTTAGCAAACTGTGCAGTTCAGCAACTGGCATGCCACATGCAGTCGAGTTGAGGCGGGAAGGGTGGAGAGAGCTCGGTTTGGCTGCAGTGTGCTTTCGGTTTTGCAGCATAAGATGGCCAGGGTCTTTGATGGTTTTTCCATGTCCATGTTGATCCCTTTAATTGAATCCCTTTAGGATTGGAGAAATATAAGGCATGAGTAATAAAGCAAATCAGTGCATTTTTATAGCCAAGGTTTGTTATCAAAAGTGTATTATCCAGTAGAGCATGCCTTTCAAATTACATGATGTGCAGTGTGATGCAGGTTGATCAGATAAAATGGAAAAAAAGTGATGGCATGACAGCTACAAGGTAAAATTTTCTATCCGGTTTCCTTGTTTAAATAATGATCCTATATTTGTTACTTTGCTGTTACCACATTCAAATGCCTCCACTGCCTCTGAGCCAAGTGGATAGTGTACTTTCAGTTTCTATTTTGGGTGCTGAGCTGAAAGATGAGGATCAAAAACAGGCATAACTTCAAGTCTCAGAAATATGGGAAATCAATATCTGAGTAAATAAGACAGGATGAGCAGAAGTAAATCAAGAAAATAGAAAAGTATTACATGTTACTGATCCAGCTGATATTACATTTTCTGCCCATTCTCATTAACGTGGAGGTCAGAAGTTCATCCCGCCACCCTGCTTCTTTTCTTGACTACCCAGGTAGTCGCAGGCAGCCCCGCATGTTATCTCAGTCAGCTCAACATAGGCAGCAGGTTGCATAACATGGCCCACTGAAGTTTCACAGTCGTTAAACCCCTGTGACAGAAGCAGTCTGTGTTTAGATAATGCTTGGGCAACTTGGGTAAATCCTCTGTTAGCCGGCAGTGGGATGTGAGCTGTACTGAGTTGATCAGGGTGGGGCTTTGGAGGGAGTCCAGGTAGGGTGAAAAACAGGAACTGTGTTTAATTTGGAAAATTAACTCAAGTTGTTGTCAGCTATAGTGTTTAGTCAGTGTTTTTTTTAGACTGGATTTTGGTTTTGAATCATTGTAGAACCCCAGTGGCATTAGGCAGTATCACTAGAATTTAGTTTCATTTTAAACTTAGTTTAGTCAGAACTAATACAAAAATCCTGCCTTTATTAAAGTTCTATTGTTCAGAATCTTAGACTAAGTATGCTGGCAACTATATGTAAATAATTCATGTTAGGGCTTAATATCATGACCATTTATTCTAATAAATTATTTCAGGATCAACAGATAATGACTTCTTCTGACTTGTGCAATATAAGTAAAAAGCCATTAAACATAATCTTCAAGAATGAATTCCAACTTAAATGTAACATCTTAAAGATGCTGGTGGTTGCCTTCTGTGGAGTCAATCATGTGGGACCGCCATGTTTTAAACAGTAGTCCAGACGGGACAAAGCAAACACTGCACAGGATCACTTGTGCGTTTCATGGCCACAGTAGTTTCTCCTTCGTGCTTGGAATGGGAGGGTGAAGGCAAAGGAGTTGCGCTCTTCAACTACACTGCTAGATGCCACCAAATCCTACACAGTGGACCTTTGATCGGACGTTCTAAAATGTCCTCTTTTTTTCTCAATTTTGAAATACCCTGTAGACCAGTGGTTCTTAACCTTTCAGGCAAATCAGGCAGCAGGCCATATTTGATAAATTATTCCATAACTGTCTATACTGTAGATTGGTAGATTAACAGTGAAGTGTGAAACCTATGAACAGAATGTTCATTCTTATTCTTTTGTTGGACTTTAGTCAATCAAATAATAGTGAAATTGGTTACTATTAGTGTATACTATAGTCAAACTTGAAATAGCCTATTAATTTCTCCATTTGCACCATTCAAAAGAATATTGCATTAAACATCGTCAATGAGGTTATGTAACAGAATTAAGAGGACATTAAATGCAGAGAGCTCTACAATTCGCCTGAAAAGTAGATTGTGGACACCTTAGATCATGATCTCAGAGCAAAAATTGTCAGATTGTCTACCACTACTGACAAATCTCCCTTACTGTTGGGAGTTTTAATTAATTAATAATAATTTATAAAAATGGATTTCAATTTTAGTTTGTTTTCTCTTCCAAATATATTGGTTAACTTTGGGGGTTTATCTCAAACCCATTTGGCCTCTATTAAGCCTTTTTCAACAATGTCGGTGTGTTTTCTGGACCTCGGCAAACACCCTTAGTGAGCAAAGTATTATTATTAATGGTTGCAATGATGCCAAAAATAGAAATAAAATTTGTAAGTGGAATTATCCTTGAATCACTGGATCTCATTGTTTCACCACAATATGATTCTGTTGAAAGACAAAAATATGAAATAGCTGCCTTTAATCAGGAACTCTCCAGTGGTTGAATTATTATTGTGGGAGTCCATTCACCCACCTGCAGTCCCTGTTTCACATCTGTTCACTCCATTAAGCTTGACCTTCGTGAATTGAAACATTGTTCATGAATTTCATTATTCCCATGAAATGAGTCTTGTTTCCCCCGTTGGTCACAATGGCTTTTGTTCAGCTAAATGTCCTGACCTCATAAATATTCCCTCTCTGCCATAGCAGCACATGTGGGCACATACAGTACGAACACTGGCTCAAATAACTAGAGGATGTTATTTTGTTGTTTTGATAGCCTTGTGAAGATAAGTGCGCCATCACTGCCCTGGTAATAATGATCCACAGCGAGAAAATTACACAGTAATAAATTGTCTCAACAGTCCTTTCACCTCAAAGGTGAAATTACAGTCCTGCTTCATCTCTTCTCCCTCAGGCTCCATAAGGCAGCCTGTGTTTTCTGGCCCACATCAGCCATTCTTTCCCACCACGCTCATCACTGAGCAAACAGGAACATATTTTAGTTGTATTTGTAAAGGGTGTAGGTTGAGAAGCTCCAACACGTGGTTGCTAGGGATCAGATGAGCGCTGATAGCGTTTGAGTTCATGTTTTTCAGCCATTGTTTGATAAAGGCTCATTTAACCAAAATAACATCTGGTAAACCATACAGTATAGAGGATGCATGCACTCATACACACATAAATGACGGTCTGTGTGTCTAATGTGCTTCCAATCTCATGCATCACTGTATTCATTCTCCTGTATCCTGCAATAAACCTTCCCTGCAGCTGCAGCTTGCGGACCATCAAAGTCGCAGCCTAGTCAGCAGTATTTGTCTGTAAATAACACCAAATGGCTGCTGCTGCCACTGCCGTGCCAGTGCATTCAGGAGGGAAAACGCTTGGCGTGCAATGCATGTTCCCCCGCAGACAGAGCTGCAGTGTTTGTCTCTAAGCAGTGGCAGGCGGAGCCCCGCGTACAGCAGCCTGCAGTGGATTTATCGACCCGCTGCTCGCCAGCCACAGGAGAGTAGCCATTAATCAGCCCTCAGGAGCAGGGTGATCCAGGGCAGTGCTGTTTTTCTTGCCTCATCCTCCTGCCAGTCTGAGGTGTTCAAGACAATTGTGAACCCTAAGATGTAACCCCTGCAGGTTATTTGGTGTTGTTTCTTTAAGTGAAATCTTGTTGATTTTGGTACCTGATAGTCTTTGGAAGTGAAATGTTCATTTTCTGTGCATATTTAAAAATATAAAAACATTTTGTTTTAGTCTTGTTTTGGTTATGGAAAAACGCTTGTATACAAATGCATTTAATAGTAGGGGTGTAACGATTCACCAAATCCACGGTTCGGTTTCGACTTCGATTTTTGAGCCACGGTTCGGTTCATACAGCGGTTTTCCCCGTTTTATTTGTTATCTGATATTACATTAAGCGGATACGGCAGAAATATTGCATTACGGAGCGTCAGTGAACACACCACTGCAGATGTCACTCACTAACGTTAGTTTCGGTTTGGACCCACATGCGACGCACTTAAAAACTGAATCACGGATGAGTTTATGAAACGTACTGCTGATGGAGAAAGTCAGCAGAGACACACACAGGGAGAGAGAGACAGACGCAAACGGGCGTGTTTGCTGTGAGTGACCAGAGGTCCAGGCTAGGTGTGTGTGCTGTGTGTGAGTGTGGGGAGAAGAGAAAGGGAGCAGATTAAAGTAGAAAATAAACACTAAAATAAGGTGGAAAATGACCAAGAATAACCTACTGTCAATACAAATACGATATAGGCGTACACCGCTACCACCCCACGGGCCACTGCCACCGCTGCAGTTACACTGTCTTAACGAGAGCTCAACAGTCCAGGGAGCGAGTGTGTCACGGTTCTGTCTCTCGGATCGGCGACACGAGAACGTGGACTTTTGTGTCGCAATGTCGGTCTCGGTTTCAGAACCGTTACAGCCCTATTTAATAGTCATTAATCAGTGAAAAGGTCTAAGTCACTTCTCAACGGTTTTTGGGGCAGCCCTAGTTATAGTCTCGGGATTTCCTTCAACAGCTGCTAACAAATGTATGCCCCTTACTTCAAGGACTCGCCTTACCTGAAACGATGCTCTCCCCACATTCTCCTACGTAGTTAAACAAACTAGAAGTATAGTGAATCACTTTGTAAAACATTGAAGATGGATGTACCGAGCAACGTTATATATATATATATATTTATATAGCACACGACTAATGCATGTTACCACCTAAAGGATTTGGATTGGTTCTACAATGCAGGGTTTTTGAAAAACTCTCGGATTATTTCCACTCAGTTTGAGCAACGAAAACTAGGAGAAAATCCTAAGTCTCTATTGGGCAATAGAGTCCTCAGTCTCTACCCGAATTCTCACCATGGAGGAGAATGGGGGGAGAGACTGGTTTGTGTGTAGTTTTGTTTTAATAATCACGTAAAAGTTATGTTGTGGGAAAAGAAATGAGACAAAAACCTTTCTTGGTCACATACATGAAAGCATGTTAAAGAAAGCAAAGGAGGACGCTGTGGGAACAGTGGATATGGTTGACAGAAAACAGTGTGATATACTGTGTGGCCTCTTCTACTAGGTAACAGCCACATTGGACAACATCAGAACCTGTTGGTCAGCTCTAACTCTTGACTGCGTTGCTAGATGTCTTCTTTCTGATCCGCAAGTTTAAATTCCAGAAACTGCCTACCAGTGTTATGTGATGGTCAGTGACCTGAAAACACATTCGGGTTCTGAGTAGCCTCTTTAAAAGTAGACTGGCAGCTCCGGCCAGAGTCTGCCTAAGCTGTGAATATTTGGATCCTGTCCAGTGAGTGCTTTCTCTCCGAGGCCTTTACAAAAACATGACCTATTTTACGACACGGACAAACAGCCTGTTCTTTTATTCCTGCCATGTCCGTATTCTTGCCGTGTCTTTCTCATTGATCAGTATTTATATGCTGTATGGAGGTCTTGTAACAGGTGGTATACAGTGTTGAATTACTAAGTCCCCCTTTTCAATCAGTCTGTCATTTTCCCCATTGATGATTGGCATGTTTTTGCAGCAGAGCATAGTTTAATATGATGACGACCTTCAGGAGTCTACTCACAGCGTGCCCCCATCCCTACACATGTTGAATAATGGCCTAACTTGACTTTGTCTTTTATCGCATAAAAGCGAGTCACAAGATTTTCTGCACACGGAATTTTTTCCCACAGGGCTTCCTGTTCTCTGCGGCTAAGGCTGGATTATAGACTTGTGATTATGGCCTGTAATGGCATTTTCCCAGGGCTTTTATTTTATTGTTTTATGTTATTATACCAGCAGCTTGCAAACATTCAAAATTAAGACTGTAAGCCCTTGTAAAAACATATTTATTTACAGCCGAGATAAGTGTATGTCTTGCATACGTTAATGCGTCAGATGGCTTAAGAAAATCATCTGCAGTGTGCTGTTTTGTCAGTCATGTGAGACCAAGCAGGGAAGTTGTGTGTTGGTATTAACAACATATTTGTAACAGGTCACTGAATTACTGCCATGGTGTTTGAGCTGGCATTGTTTCCACTGCAGCCACTTCTTTACTCCAACAACATTCCCAGACAAGCAGAACAATTGTGTGTGGCTTTGCCATGCATGTGCAACTAAACCAACAAAAACCACGTCTGAACATGCTCATTTGGAATGTCAAGTGGCAGCAATGAGATTGAAGAAAAAATATGACTGAAAAGTATTGCTTTATTTCTCAGACAAAAATCTACTAAATACATTTTCTCTTTTTTTTTTTTTTTCAGAGGTAGGGTATAAACTGTGCAAAACAATTACTGTTTTGTTAAAGTGAAAGTGATGTGTTTGTGCCTTGATGCAGCAAGCAAAAAGAATCACAATTCATTTTCCATCTGATTGTTTCATGTAACCCACTCATTCTACTACTTAAACCAGTCCTAGCAGTTGCTCTACCAGTCTACAACTACAACGATAAGTCGATCAAGGGAAAATTAATCTGCAACTGTTTTCATAATTGATTAATTTTCCAAGCATTTTCTGGTTTCAGTTTCCCCAATGTGATTATTTGCTGTTTTTCTTTGTCATATATGATTGTAAACTGAATATCTTTGGATTGTGGACTGAAGTCGCCACATTGGGCTCTGGGAAATTGTGATGGGCATATTTACCGTTCTCTGACATGTTATTCATCGTTACGTCAGGAAAATAAGCCCTAGTTCATGGAAATAAAGGAGAATGTGTTTGCTGTTGGTTTTAGTCTTTTAATGGAATTTGTTCAGAATAAGAAAAATGTTGAATATCACTA